TTTTTTTAAAAAAAAAAAAAAAAAAAAAAAAAAAAAAACTTTTTTGAGATAAACTTGGGGCTTCAATTCGCGGTATTTCTTGAGAAGTATCTATGCATGGCAGTACTTGATGTTCAAAAGTTGGGCCGCTGCAGTTATACACACAAAACAGTGATTTTTAAGAATGCCTGGAGCTGTTGAAACCTTCTTTATCTCTTGTCTTGTGCTTGAAAAATTATTGTGAGGCTAGACTCGTGACCACAAATGGCTTACGACTGAAAAGAAGCGCTGAAATCTTAGAAATCGCGGTACCACCGACGTCTGGCCTCTTCTCTTTGACGCAGATGCGCCCCCATATTTTTGGGAATCGGCCCGAACGACAGTTGTAGTTTCCTGGGGTGCCACTCACTAATACGCAACGTCCATCGGTTGTCAGCAAGGCGAGCAACTTGAAGAAGTACACTTTTTTGAAGAAGAGAGCAGTGAGTGATCTATTGTTTGGCATATAGAATATTTTATGACATAAAGAGCAGTTTCTTTTTGCAAAAGTGAAATTGAGTACGATAGCGACGTAAAGGGGAGAGGGAACAATCTTTGAAGTCGAAAGTTCGGTTTTGCCGTAGATTCCCTCGTTTTTGAGGTGAAGAGTAACCCAATTTTTTTTACAATGATTGATCACTTTTTTGATCACGTTTTTCCTCCTGCTTGTCATTTTTTCATTCACTTTCTCTCGTGTCCGTGATGACATCCTGATTCTTCTGATCCAACTGTGATTCGGGTACTTCTGGACGACGTCTTCAGCCTGAATTCTGGGAATTGGGAAACTCTGGTGTGATGCTAAGCAAGTGGAGATATACCGATGCAAAGATGATTGCTCACTCTCTGTCGGGGGATAATCATGTGCAGCTTCACCGAATGTCTACTGATCGTCGTTTGGGTATTCTTGGAAGTTTGACCATCATCAGCCACATAAAATTCGGAGTATTCACTAGTTGTTCTCACGGTTCACTGGGGGCAGTCTGTGGATTTTGATCATTCGCTGAATAATTTTAGAGTTTAACCCGGGGGTTCTTTGGGAAATCCTAAGTCGTTCACTGGGTGAGGTTCATTTTTGCAAAGATTACTGACGCAGAGAATTCGAAAAAAATCGTTCTTCTGTTGTTGTTCATCTTGCTTCATTTCCGTAAAAGTGTTGCTAGTTTGCGAACCCCCCTCCCCCCCGCCCCGCTTCCCTCAGGGGCTTAGATAGCAGTTATTTTACTGTAGAAAAGTCTGCTTGAGACAAAACGGCCCGGGCTCCTGTGTTAATGGTAAAGCTAAAATGTTCCCACAGGCCTGGTGCAGCTGTACCAGAATTCGGAAAGAAATTCGGGGAAATTTTGCTTCACTGTGTTACAAAAATATTGCGAATGATGTATAAAATGTTAAAAAATTCAAATGTATGGAAAAAATAATCGAATGAACAGGAATGATTCGGTCCATCAAGTGTTATCCTCGCATCCATATTTATATAGTCGACTAGCGAACTCCGTGAGAATACCGAGATTAGCAGTTCTGATAATTCTAGATTTCAAATATATGCATTAGTTTATGTATTATTCAGAATTGTGATGTGTGTCAGAAAAAGTCGTCTTTTTTTCCATTTCGTACAGTGAAGATGGTACCAGAACACTGATGTTTTTTTTATGAATTAAATTCGTATCTGCTTTTGAGATTTTTAAGTTCTATAAATTTTAATTTTAGTTCTTTGAAATTCTTTTGGTTCTCTGAGGTAAAACAGAATGAAACACTGGTGTGTATACACACACGTACACGCGCATACAAATAAATACTCATGCTCACACACGTGCAGATGCACATGCAATCAGATATCGTTGAAGTGATGGACAGTAAAGCCTGATTCTTCAAACGTTTCTCTTCCACGTAACCTCTTCTCTGCGGCGTAAAGAACTCCTTACACGAT